GCTAAAATTGTCCTCTCAACAGCACATTATCTACTAACTCCATAAAGAGTGACTAATATTCAGAGTCACAGAATTTGGGGGCAAATAGGATTTTTCAATGGAAAACTACAAGGTGAATACACCCATGAAGACAAATGCAAGTACTGTGTACACAAATACTTTCATATCTGCCTGGCTCTTTAAAACCAAAATGATAGAGTTCATTTGCATTTAGATCTCTTTGGCTCCTTCTTTTCATCTAAAGACAAATCCTCACAAAGGCTGCTTAATTAGACCAAATTAGATTTCCACCTAGTGGCTTGTCATTCATTAGAAAACGCTGTTCTTTTTTTCAGTTTTGGTAATTATAAGCTGGTCTCACAGTGTTCACTTCAGGTTCAAAGTCTGACTTGCATTCATGATTTTGTGCAGATGAGAGGAAAATTATTCAGTCACATCAAGTCTGCCCATTTTACAAGTTGGATAAAGATCATTGCTGGAGTCTTTTATGTAATGGGGTATACTCTTTCTTAAGTCGTTAATGATTAATTGTAATAGCATATCTCATGGCAATTTTCAAGACTAAAAGCTAAGTGCAAACAGTTGGAATGTGCAGTGAGTGTACCAGGCAGTGGGTGCTTCCCTGGGCTGGGGTTTCTGTGTCGGGCTCTCTGTGTGTGGCCCTTGTTTGTTGGTGTTCCAGCCCAGCTGGAAGCAAGAGAATGGCAAGAGGCTGGTGCCAGGGGTTGTGCAGGGAGAACCTGGGCTGGAAGGACAGCCTGCCTTCTCTCCTTGTCCTCTCTAACCCAGCGAGGGGGACACCTCTGATGGGGGAGTGGTGGATGGACTCTCCAAGCTGTTCTCTATGATTTGCCATCAGTGCTGACTCACTGGAGGTTCCCGGATGGCTGGAGGTTGGCCAATGTGACACCCATCCATAAGAAGGGCTGAAGGAGGATCCAGGGAGCTACAGGCTTTCAGCCTGGCCTTGGTGCCCAGCAAAGCAGCCTGGATCAGTCCGTGGCAGATGGTGGGACTGTGTTTCCACCCCTGGGGCACTCGGTTCCAGGTGTACTGCACTCCCTTCCAGGTGAAGGCAAACTGAGGTCTGCATTCCCTTGCCAAAGGAATGGAGAAGAAGGCATTTGCAGACCACTTTGCTGCCTTGGACTCCAGCTCGTACTGAAGCTCCCCGGGAAGGGGAAAATGCCAGATTTGGGGTCACTGAAAGAGTAAATGCCGAATTAGGGGTCAGGGAGAGGCAAAACACCTCTGCTGCTGGCCTTACACAAAACACAGCTTCTAGAGGGGAAAATCATTCAAATCCACACCTGACGCTCAAAGGTTGGTGTCTAATTAGGCTGAAGCTCCTAGGGCAGGTCAGGCAGGAGCACAGGTTAGTGGAGATTGCACTTGTAGATGTACTCTGGGTTAGCAGTGTGGCTGATCTGTCTGGAGTACTTGTAATTAAAGGAGTTAAACTCGCAGCAAGATCCTTGAGCTTTGCCATGTCTGGCTCCAAAGGCAGCAGTTTGCCCAACCCTAACCCTTTTTATGGAAAGAGGAAGATTCTTACACTGATATAGAAGGCTGGGATGATTTGGTCTCACTCTCTTCTTTCCACAGTCCAAACTCTGTTCCCTCTGCTGTCCTGCATGGGCATACTGATTCCCTGCCTCAGTTTCCCCTCTATTACAGAGTGTTAATGCTCAGTGGCATGCTTTGAAGCTTAATAAATCAGGGATAGAACTTGTGGTCGTCCATCAAGCAGAACTTCCTTTGGCTTTGACCTTTAATGCTTATGAAAAGCTTTGAAGACAACTGCCAACTTATTATTAATAATCTGCTTGGAAGTGGAAGTTACAAGCAGTTGGCGCCAGGCAGCCCAGCAGCCACCAGCCCCTGCTAGGATTTCTTCTGCACTAACAAACCTAGATTTTTCAGGTGTGTTTTTATAACAACATTCTTGTTTTACTTCCTCACAAAAAAAAAAAAAAAAAAAAAAAAATTTTTATTTAAAAAAAAAAAAAAAAAAAAAAAAAAAAGGTAAGTTTTTCCTTCCACCTTTAAAAAAAATCTCATCAAATTTGCCTTTCTCAAAACACTGAACATTCCCTTTCTCATCTACCTAAACCTGATGTTGAGTTACTGTCCCCCAGAGGCTTTCACTAGCTCAGTTCTGATGTATCCCTGCACTTTGTAGCTCACTGCCTTCTTAGAGTGTAATCAAACATCAAGCTAAGTAGCAAATAAATCTCCCGATCTCATAAGCTGCACAGCAAGATCATGTAAATGCAAATGAAGGGCTTGATTTCAAGCTGTCGCGGGGGGAAGGAGGGAAAAATGCTGGGCCTTGTCACTGCAATCACTTCACTCTGCAAGTGCAGTAAATCTGCAATAATAATAGTAATGGCAGCGTGACGGGAGGCTTTACTGTACAAGGGGGTGTAATGAAAAGGGGAACAGAAGGTAGGAAGGAGGCAGGGCCTGGCAGGCTGAAAATGCACCAGCACAGAGTTTGCAGGTGTCCACAAGGCAGAGCCAGAGAGGAGGGGATGGGGCAGCCCTGCCTGAGTCGGAGCACAGAGGATTCGTGGATCCCCTCCCAGGGAAAGGCTGTAGAGGCAGGGATTAAAAATCCACATCTCAGTCTCTTTTTGTACCTCCCTGTGTGGACACGTCTCCCACCTCTCTCAGTCATCTTTAGAAAATGGATGCAATGTGTGTTGCTGGGCCGCGAACACCGGGGGACAGAACACAAATAAGTCTCTGCAACAAAACCTGGAATCCTTAAAGATTTTGCACTGCTTAAACCTTTGCAATGCCTCCACCTCTAGAAACAGACCCCTTTCACAGCCTTCCTTCACAGCAAACACTTTCCAACACTCGAATACAAATCCAGGGCTGCAGAGATCAGAAACTACTTGGCGAAGGCTCAGGATAACTCAACAGCACTCACTTTTCAGCCAACCAAGGTATCCCCACTAATCAAACACCCCCAGCACTGCACCATGACCAGTTGGACCCTCCAAACCCAGCCAAGACACACCTGGTTCCACCAGAGAAATTATCACATCCAAGGGGAAAGGATGCATCAGCCAAGCCTTTAAAGACAGTTTGAGAGAGCAAACAAAGCCTCAGAGGTGTTGATCTCTGCTGGGTGCTCTGGGAATGCTTCAGGATAAGGTCTAGAGCTGTCTTTTCCAAAGTGGCTGGATAAACAGCATTTAGGATGCTGGATTTTCCTCGCCGAGGTCGTAAAGGGAGAAAACTTGCAGAAGGTACCCAGAGAAAATTAGGACCGCCTGGATGCAGAGAGAGACGGTTTTAATTAGAGCCAAGAGGTGGGAAATAAGGCAGAGAAATGACATCTTAATGAGGTTTAATGAAGTTGTCTGCTGATGGGCACAGCTGTCAGACAGATCTGTATTCCAGCCAAGCAGCTTTGTGACAGGCTAAACCTGAACACAGGGAACAGTGCTGGAACTGGGGGAGAAAGGCAAAAAAAAAAAATACCTTCTACATCAACTTTGGCTCAATTTCCCCACTGCTTTATGACAGAGCACACCTATAATGCCCCAGGACAAACAAATGAAACCAGCCCATGAGCTGGAAACAGCATTTTGTAATTTATGAATGAGAAAGGCTGTAATTGTGGATTACAGTGTTCATTCTTGCTACATCCTTCCCCTTCTTTGCTTTTGTAGGTAAAAAATGTTGGCAGGCAACCAGAGTCCTCTGAGTTCGTTGATTTTTCTTCAGGCACAGATTCTCTCCATGTTCAACATATTGGACTAGATTTTTTTTTTTTAATTAATTATCCAGCACCTTCATCTTTATTTATTCAGTGCAAAGTGACTGTAAAATGCCACCTGATCATAAAAGGAAACAGCATGCACTCATTTTGTGATGGAATAAACACCCAACTGTGTTAACTTCAGGTACTCTGCAGAAGGGACTCTTTAAATCCTGAAATTTCTTCCATTCTACAGAGTTCTGCACTCGAGGTCTGGAAGCAGCTTAGCCACAGGCTACAAACCTCTCTCCTGCCCTGCAGTTTCTCCGTGATTTTTCTCCCACCTGTCACACCTTTGCCACCACAGCAGATTTCTGACCTCACTTCCCTGATCCATTTCAGCACTTTCATTCTCCCAACAAGTCCTGTCTACACCAACAACACCCCAGCTCTCTTAACACCCTTCCCAAGGAAAATAACCTGTTCCAAAGCACCCACATCCTGCCCTCAGGGCTTCTGGGGACTCTGCTCCAGCTTTGCCCTGTCCCTTCCCTCCTTCAAGCAGCACTGAGGTTTCAAGACACACATCCTGCAGTGACTCCACCATGGAGATGGGAGTGTGGAAACAAAAGGGTGAGGGGAGGTCAGTTAATCCCACAGACACCACCAGGCTGATACACACATGAGCTGGGGAAGAGTTCATTTGAAAGTGAAATAGAAATGATGTTATTGAGCTGAAGTTCTTTTCTGTGCTATAAACCCAAGGCTCTGCTCTCCCTTCTTCATCCCCCTTCTCCTCCTCCTGCAGCATGCCTTGTGTTTTGATTATTCCCAGCCATGTGATTGTGCCTGGGGAAGTTTATGTCAGTTTTTTGGGAGGATGCACAACTTGGAAATGAAATAACTCCAAGTAAAGCTAAGACTAGCTGCTGATTCCCCAGCAGACACCACAGCTGGGCATCCCCACCAAAGGAGAGATTAACCAAACAAGAAGATTTCAAGTCCATATCTATTGAGTTAGGATCTCTTTTTCCAGCAAGGCTAGGTCTCTTTATAACTCAAAATCTAACTTGTGTGAAATTCACCATTCTTTAGGCTTCAGCTCCTTTTTGCACTGTGACACTCACTTGTGCAGTGGGATCCAAGCCTTGCCAAATGGACACTCTTGGTACTTGTGGCTGTGTTCTATTACAAACTTCTGTTTTCAGGGGCTTTACCTTATCAGAAAAAGCCTTTCTGCTTCTCTATTAATGCTATATATGCTTCTCTATTTCTTTTTCTGCAGCCAGAACTTGGAAAGCCCATGAGAAACTGCTACTCCCTGCCAGGCCCTGATTTTACCTATGGGATATACACGCACAAGAGAGATGGAGGAGTCCCTGAAGGTAGGACACTGCCCCTAAAACACAGACCTGCAACAAAGTCCTAATGCTAGTAGGAAATCTCCTCTCCTTCCCATGGCTCTTCAATATTTGTCATCAAGCTGGAGGTGCAGAACTCCAACATTTACCCACTTTCATTAACATCACCCCAATTGCTTGGTGACCAGTGAAGTTTCTCTGTCACACTGGAAACTTTCGGAGGCTCACACAGAGCCCAAGCAGCAAGGGTGCACCTGCAAAAGGTGATGCACCTGGGCACTGTCACAGCTTTGTCAGGGCTCCTGCTTTGTGCTCTCAGGGACAGTTTCCTTGTAAAATCAGACATCCTGAGCAAGCCAGGGAGGAGGGTGAGAAGACATCCAATTCAGATGGGCTATGGGATGCAGTGGGACAGTGTATGAAGCTCACAAAAGGAATCTTAGCCCCACAAGGCCCCCATGCACGGTGCACACATGTGGCAGCAGGCACAGACTTTCCCAGGCATTTTCCTGGGGAAGGCTGTGAGAAGATCAGAGAAAAGAATGAGAAAAAATTCTTATCTCCACTTGCTGCACTGATTGTGCACATGTGGAATGTGTTATGGAGATTTGTTTACCAAAGAGTGATTTCTTAATTGGACACTGGATGGTGTTTGGGTTGACTGACCAATCTGGTCTATCTGTATTGGACTGTCTGTAAGAGTGATGAGTTTCTAAAAGAGAATTGTATAATATGATATATGTCACTGTCGAGGCAGGACAGGAATGAAGAGACTCTGACTCAGAAGGCTGTGAGAGTAAAACTCCGATTTATTCAAAATGCACCGCTCATTTATATAGAGCTCTGCAAGGACCAAATCCATTGGTTCTGAAGTGAAAACAACCCACAGCATTGGTGCAGAGTGCTTGACGCACAGTGATAGAACTTAACTATAAACAATGTGAAAAACAAAGAGATAAAGAATTATTTACATTCTTTCCCAGCTCTTTCCCAGGCCTCTGCCTGGCTAGAAACTCTCCGTTTCTTCCTTTGACTGAATCTGAGTCCCACAGATATTAATAAATTGATTGATCAGCTTTCTGCAATCATGAAGTCAGTGCTAATTATTACCCAGCTGGGGTCTTGCGACAACACACACACACATCAATCTGCTTTCCCAATCAGGAGCTAACTGAGATGCCTCCTCTTCCTCTCTATTTCCTTCCACCTCCAGCCATAGGCCACTGGGATTCAGTGAAGGCCAAGCCTCACAAAAGGGTCATGCCCCGAGACTTCGTGGCCATGGGCCGTGCAGCTGTGGACGAAGGCTGCACCACAGCCCGGGACTTTGCTCTCTACTACAAGTACATGGACATCCGCTGCAAGGACAAGGGCATTCTCAGATATGGGGGCAAGGTACCTCCAGGCATGACTTTTGGCAAGCCACCACGGTAAGGGGGAAGGTTTGAGCCCTCCTCAGGATGAAATTATCCCTTCCTACCCTCACACCTACATGCCTCCCCAATCTCAGCTACCACAGTCCCCAAAACAGGAGCATCCTGAACCTGGGTATGCTGTCACAGCATCACATCCATGTCTGATGGCATTCCTGTCATAATCAACTACCTGAATCAAACACATGTGCCACAACACAGTCTCATTTCACCTGTAGTATTATGGGCTTGAAGCCTCTTAAAAATATCTTCCATGCCAACCCTTTAATTTAAATAATATGAAGAGCTGTCAGCCAGAAAACTGGCATCCCAGGGTCAGAAAATCAGAGCAACAGCATTTCTACCTGTCTGCACTGGTAGAAATACTCTGGTGGAGTTAAAGATCAGTTCAAATTCTTTATCCTACTCTCTCCTACTGAGTTCATTGCTCTGCATTGAGCAGAAATTGGGAGTAGAGCACGATAGAGGCAAAGAAGCTTTTCCCTGCTAGTGCAACTCCAGCACAAACCAGGGCTCAAAGCCTCTTAAAGTCCTGCTACTGCTGGAGCCCAGGGAGGTTTCTTGCTCTGTGCAGGTCTGGACCAGACATTAGGTTTTATTTTAAGAGCTAGATAATAATCACTACCAGAAAAATAACAGCTACAAATTCTAAAGGAAAGACATGATGAACAGCACCGTGTATTTTACATGATAGTAAATGGGCTTTGCATATGCAAATTGAATGGATTTTAAAATGGTATTTAATGACAATTTTCGTAGCAGACATTAACATTAATTGCATCAAAATGAAAATGTAGCATTAGCTTGCTGTTAGCTGCAAATGCCCTAGCTATAAAGCTTTATCTTTATCAGTATCAGCCCTCTTCCATGTGACAGGGCTGCTCTGCAAATTGCAGGCAAAAGGGCTTTTATGTTGCAAAAGTATCCCCCAATGCAGGCCAAAATCAACATCAATTTTGCTTTATTTCTTCATAAACGGAGGTTAAATGGCTGCCTGTAAGAAGCCCAGACATGCTTCAAAAGTTTTAAGGAAAATCTGCAGACCCCACAATGGCAGAAGTAGTGAGAAAGGGCTTTTAATTGAAAGTTATTATTCTACAACTTGCCTGCTCCTTAATAGCTACCTTTTATGCAGACTGATTGTATTTATCCCTTTACTTTAAAAGCACATTATAGATAAAACCAAATTACTGGGATTATCAAAGAGTTGTTACAGCCATTTTGGTAAAAGTGGGAGTTTAACACACTTTTCCATGACTGGCAAGTTAAAGAGACAAGCTTTGGTGAGCATTCCCAGGACAAGGTGATCCCCGGTCACAGCAAGACCCATCTTCCTAAAAATGACCTGGTTGTCAATGGATTTCAGTTGGCTTTGGACTCTAAGCCCTGCTTGGCTGTGATCTCAGTGCTGCTACCTGGGAAGGTGCTCCCAGGTAAGGCGTATGCTTGTCTGGGAGCAGAAGAAAATGGTGACAAAAGGTCTTTTTTTCACAACTCCAAGCACTTCATGTCTTTAAGAAACAACAGATCCGACCAACACCTTGATGCAGTGAATTTTTCAGCAAGAACAACACCTGCCTGTCATCCCCTAGGAGTGGCAGTGTGGCTGAGGAGAGCAAAGGTGCTTTTCCATGGCACTGGAAGCAGCTGGGGACACCCTGCCTGATGTGGTGGTGCTCTGGGACAGCCCAGAACCACCCCCCCAGTGCAGACCCTGCCCAGTCTGCACCCACAGCTCTGTTGCAGCTCTCTGCACAGTGGGAATTGCAGCTGGTGCCAGCCCAAATAACTCAGCAGCTGTCACAGGAGCAGCTGGGGCCGGTGGGCAATGGGCAAGGGGCTTCTGGAGCCCTGCAACTCATCTCCAGCCCCTCCTCAGGCCCTGGGCTGTGCTGCTAAAGGCTTCTGTCTCCTGGAGACACCAGGGTCAGGAGCTCTCCCTCGGCTCACAGGTTGGAGCTCTCCTGGGTCACCCCAAATAGAAACAAGCACCAAACCTGTGGTTGCCATTAGTGCCTTGTTAATCACTGCCTGGCCCTGCTGCTGCTCCAACTCAGGTCACTCCTGCCTCTGCTTTCTGCTCACGGCGTGTGCAGCGTTTCACCAGGAGGCTCAGACACTGCAGGAAGCTTTCTGAAGCTTTGAGGCCTCTTTCCTTTCTTTTCCTGGGATATTTACCTTCAAAGGTCACCCATGCCCCTCCATATTCCCCCTGGGCACCTTCCAGGGGAGAGGAGCAGTGCTGCTTTTTGCTGATTCCCTCCCCATTCTCTCCCTCCCTTTTCCCAGAGTAATGTTTGCTACGAATCACGTGGCCAGCTTTGTTGTGAGAGCCATAAAAAGGACATTTTTCATCTCTCCTTTTTCCTGCTCTCGCTCCCTTCTCTCTCTCAGTAGCAGACAGAGATTTATTCCTTCCCTGATGCCTGTGGCATTTGGAGCTGGGAGGGGTCAGGGGAGGCACTGAGGGAACATAACAGATAATGCAGTGGTTCCCCAGGGGCTTGTCCAACTCCAGAGCCGATCCATCAGCAGGCAGTGCTCGTGCCAAGGTCAGCAGTAACGAGGATGGGGTGGGATCCCAGCCTCCCCCCTGGGGCATCCTCCAGCCAGGCTCCCCCAGTCCAGCTCCAGCTTCTGAGCTCTACAAGAGCTGCCTTGTGTGACCACACTTTGCAGGAGAGGACACCGAGTGCAGGCACTAGGCTCACAGCACACAGGCTCAGCTTCACCTCTCCCTGCCCTCCTCCCCACCACACACGGGTCCACAGGCTCATCTTCCAAGGAAAATTCCCATCTTTGACAGACACCTCCAGGAGCTAAACCACATCCACATGCTCTGTACACAACACATCATAGAGCTGCTGAGGGTCGCTGTGCTCCCAGGTATTTTCATTCAAAATGACCCCACAGGTGTGTCCAGCTCCCATACTCTGCAATAATGACCTTGTTTTACAAGGAGGAGGCTGGAGGGCACTGAGTGGGCTGGGGTTGATGATAATGGAGACCCAAAGGCACAGAGGGTCTGTGGAGACCTCCAGGATCTTCACTGGTGTCACTCCAGCCTGCTATTCAAGGTGCATTTGGAAACCTCAGTAGGTGTCCAGATGTATATTTATCCTCCTGACTACCTTTTCTGGCTGAGCTTCACTGTGCACTGAAATCAGCCAGCATTAAAGGATCATTTTTGGAATAAGAAGTAAACACAAAGACGTGGATGCTGTCTACAGCTAGATTTTAGCTGCTATTGATCTGTGCAAGGTCACACAAGGAGTTTGAAGGCAGAACACTCCAGCACACAGTTGGTACCTCGAGCACCAGTTCTGTCCCCAGGAGCGAGCAGGGCAGAGTGCACCATCAGCATGGACACGCTGCCCAGCCCTGCCAGGAGAACAAAGCTTCCAGTCACCTCTTGGTGAGCATCCTAAATCTCCCTCTACGCCCCAGAACCTATTCCTGGGCACAAGGACTGCACAGACGTGCCATCCTCTGCCATCCTGCACCTGTACCTGCTCCAAGCCCTGCATGGCCACAGCCCTGCCTCCCACGGGCACTTGGCAGTTGGCCTGGAGGTTGGGCTGACCTTGGGTGTGCTGGCAGGATTTCCCTGGCACTCTGTCATCCCCAGCCCCCCCCCACTGTCTGCCTTCGCTTCAACTGTCCCTTCCCTGAATTTTACAGCCCATTTTCCTTCTGTCTTCATCTCCTGCCTCCAATCCACCTCCCGTTCTCTAAAACTGCTCTTAATCTTTTGGCAGCTGTTTTCATCATGTCCCTGCAGCAAACTCACCTCTTCAAAGTGTTTGGTCACTGCAATCTCTCTTCTTCAAACTTACACTTGGCCAAGGGCATCAGTTACCCAGTACCTCCTCTTTAATTGGTACCATTTGCAACCATCCCAATCTTTCACCTTCCCTGAGAAGAGAGATTTCTATGCTCATGCTCTGTTTAGCAAGTGGCCTTTCCACCCAAAGTGTCTGTGCTGTTTGCACACAGCCAGAACAAAGTTTAGAAAGCTGCTCAAGAAGTGCTGAGGAACTTCCACTGATAGATTTCTTTTTGGGGTACTTAAAGAACATTTCAGGTTGCTAATATATGGCTGTGGAAAGAAAGCTAATCTAGATGTAGACCAGCTGCAAAGGTGCCAAGGAAATAATGTGTTACTGGAAAGAACCCATCAGGAAAAGCTGGACAGGCAATAAAATTGAATATTATGGCAAGAATTACAAGATAATATTATGGCAAATATTATCTGAGCCAAAAAGAGTGTAAAGCCACCAAAATCCTAAAGATGAGGGCAAAAAAAGTTTTACAGGAAAGAAAAAAAGAACAAAACAACTGAGGACTGACAAAACAATTGTGAAAATATAACACAGTGAGTGGAATCACTGTCAGGCTCATGGCGACAGAGAAACGCAACCAAGTTAAAAACCACAGGACTCCCAGCAGCTCAGATAATTACATATCCTATCCAATCCCACAGTGAAAGGCACTTGGTGCCTCTGCCACCATTCTCACACTGCTAAGAGAAGAATTTCTATTTCAAGAGTAGTTTTCTTCTCCTGGACGTGTTCCAGGCTGGGTGTGTGGTTGCAGAGCTCCCAGCCCCATCCGCCTGAAGCATCTGCTGGGGTGGAAGGACCTGTTACACCCTTCAAAAAATCCTGAGTGCACCTTGAACATACTGATTCCCCTCCAGAGTGCTGATTTGCTTGCTGTTAGAGTTTCTGACTGCTTCAGGCTGATGGTTTAAGAGAAAATAAACAGTCAAGTCATGGTTTGCCATAAGGTTCAGGTCCTGCGCATCAGCCATAGAGATGGGAAAAAAAGATCTGAAGGACAGATTTAGATCCCTTATTACCAATTGGTTTACACTGAATAGGAAAGTAATTTACTCTCACACAGACTGGCTGTTGTCTGTGGGTTTATCTCCATTGATTACAGCCAGATGAAGAATTTCTTCCAAAGTTTTACCATCTAGAGCTACTTCAGACCAC